TTAATATATTTATACTTTTTACTTTTTTTTTTACCATATTCTTCGTATTAGTTAATATATTATATTATTAGAGATTTGATTCAATTATATTTTGAAATATTATAAATGATTAATTTTTCAAAATATATTTTTTGGTCATTTTACATTTTTATCAGCTAGTTTTGTCAAACATGATTTGTTTATCAGTTAGCTTATCAGCTAGTTTGTCAAACATAGTCTTAGCTTACCTTATGTAAACTCCGGATTCTGAGACTTCAATTTGAATTAAATTCAAGTCATATTACAGTTTATCAGATACCGAGGTTCAGGGACGGACCCAAAAAAAAAAATTCAAACGGTGGCACCATATAATTAATATAATATAATATAGATCCAAAAATAATTACAAAAAATATGGTTTTTATAACAACGATAAACAACTCCTAAACTTGTACTCGCACGTCTTCATCTTTTGAAAACGGTCAATATATACCCAAAAATAATTACCAAAAGTATGGTTTTTATAGAATTGAGAAACAACTCCAAAATTTGTCCTCGGCGTGTCTTCATCTTTTGGAAACGATCGATGACATCTTCATTATTATGTGCTTCCTTTTTCATGACATAAATGAGGGCATAATTCAAAAGGTCACCACCAATTCGATTACGTAAATGTCTAAATCTGAAAAAGTGAAAACATAGACCAAAAGTCACCAAATAGCCATGTAGCAAGTGAAAATCGTTCGATTTTCGAGAATCGTTCGATAATCGCCACTTGAGAGATGAAAATCGATCGAGTCTTCGAGCCGATTTCTGATTTTCGTCACTCACTCGCTGTTGTCTGTTTTGGACTTACTTGCCGACTTGGACTTGTTCCTGTTTGTCCTCTTAATCTCGTTGATCGGCTGCCAAGTTTAAGGGCCATTGGGCTAAGCCTAAGGCCTTTGTATAATTGGGCTTTGCATATTAGGCTTTTGATTTAGCCATTTGGGCTTTGTTTTATTTGGATTTCAGTTTCACAATTTGGGTTACAGGAAAATACGGTAACACCTTATAAAACGATACGATTGCACGATTCACAAACCTAAATGTTTTACCCTTCGACGGATAAATAATACGGTGGCACGTGCCACCTAAACCACCCAGCAGGATCCGTCCATGCCTAGGTTCTAAATGACATGAAACATGGCATGAGGGTGAGGTGGAGCCTCAAGACTTACGAGTTACGCCGAAGGCATGACGTTTTTCCATTTCTAAGGTGGTGTATATATATATACACACACACACGCACACTTTGTGCATGTTAGTGTTTTGAATAATATTGATAAACAAATTAAAATAAAGTAAAAAATTAAAAAAGAAAGAAAATTCATAGAGTTTATAAAAAATTATATTAAGAGTGTAAAATTAGAATTAAATCTCTACTAACTGTCTTATTTAATTTTCAAGGAATTTGTGTGTCAATTTTTATGTATGGAATGTGAGTAAGTATTTACATATTTAAATTTTTAAGTATAATTTTTATGTTTATTAAAGTCTTTGATCACGTACATAATTATCAGCTATTTCTTAAGTTAAATATAAAAGTAACCTCATTACCTCATAAAATAACGGGTCATAACGTGTTGTAACGCATCGTAACGCGTTACAATGCAAGCCAAGTCATAGGAGTTAATGTGACGGCGAACCCAAACCTTGACGCTGTAACACGCCATAATGAGACCATGACAAATTATTTAGAGCTATGTCAGATACAAACCCAACCAAATTGCCATTTTTTGTGAATAATGATTGAATAAAGAAAACCATTGCATATCCCTTTGGGTAGGTTAAGGGATTCTTGGATTTTTAGTCTATTAAGTGACTGTTTACTAAATGTTTATCTAGGTAAGTGTTTATCAAATCACATTAACTTACTGGATGAATATGACGATGACCAATAATATTACTCGGTAAAAGCGAGGCAAAGACCAAGAGTCTTGCCTTGTAAGTGAAAGAGACGACTCTTACCATATTAAGCTTTTACCGGGTAAATTGTCGCATATAATGCCTTTTCGATGGATTAAAATCTTATCCGGTAAGTAAGTGATAATATTGAATTTCACTAATAAACTTTCACCAGGTAAGTGTTTGGCATACGGCCCCTTAGCCATGCATCTATTAAGTTGTTCGTAAATATTGTATAAACAGTTCGAGTAACAAAAATTATCAATTTAACATTTTGCTACATAAATGTTGAATGAAATTATTTATTTGATAAAAAAAAATCTTTAGAGTTGCATAAAATTACATAGATAATGAAAATCCAATTAGTTCATTATATAATTAACGGTTTAAAATATATTTAAAACAATTACACATTTTTATTTATTTTCTAATAAGACGTGAAAATAGAAAATTATGGCTTAATGCATTAAATCAAAGTGGTGTTTGGGATTGTTTATTTGAAACAAACTTATACTTCCTTACACAAGAACTTATCAACTTATTATAAGTCAGAAGGGTTTAACTTTTTCAAAAACTATTTATTACCGGTTTGACACCGATATAAGTTGTTTATCCAAACACTCAAAAGTACTTATTACCAGTGTCACACCGAATAAGTCAATAAGTTGTTTTTATAAGCAATCTCAAACACCCACTAAATAAAGTAGGTTAATTTACCATGTTAAATTCATCTCTTTATATTAAACTAAAATCAAATATTTTAATATAACTTAATTATTAAGTTAATTACACATTAAGCTTATTAAATTGAAATCAAATACCTTCCAGACTTTAACCGTTTAAGTGAAAACTATTATTCACAAAATATTACACCTAAAGTTCTTTTTTTATTTATAAAATATATTAATTTTTAAAATAATAATATGCTATAATTTTTATAATGTAAACAAATAATAATTTCAAGCATTTAACATTAATGGTTCACATATGACAAAAGGTGTAAGTTGTTCACTTATTTGCCTATTTTACTTTCCTTCACACACACACACATTCAAAAAAAAAAAAAAAAAAAAAAAAAACCCAATTGGGTTTCATTTTAGTTGTGATCCGATGATTAAGAGTCACAAGATCCGGTGGAAAATTTTATTTATCTGACTTTGAATACATGTGCTGTCAGAACCTTTATGATTATGGATATTCACATATGATGACTGTAGGCGATCAGTGGTTACTTGAGGGATAAGTTGGCACAGGTAACTCGACCTGAATGCCCACAGTTTCTTACTAAAATCATAAAATATAAATACAAAAATAATAGACACTATCATTTGAGACATCTTTCTTTTCCTTCATAAACACTAAAATAAAACTAATTTTAAATATAAATTAATTTTATTTATTTTTGTAAGGGGCCTGTTTGCTAGTTGCTGAATGGTTTTGTGCATAATGATTAAGTGATCTGAATGATTAAGAGACTCTCATGATATAATACAAAATAAAATATAATTATTTGGTAATCATTTATAACGAAATTAGGGCGCTGAATGGTAAAGAGTGGCCCAAGATACAAAATCATTCATTGGTTTAGAACTATTAAGAGTTTTTTTGCCAAACAAGATTCAGCTCTTAATAATTCAAAACTGCCTCTTGATAAATTACCAAACAAGATTCATCTCTTAATGATTTAAAAGTGACTCTTATTAAACAACTCTCTATAAAAAAAAAAGAAAAAAAAAAGAAAAAAAAAAAAAACCAAACAAACTTTGTGATGGTACCCAAGGACACTTTAAAAGGCAGGGGAGGTGATTGTAAAACTAGAATTCAACTTGTTGCAGCCAAATAAACCCTAGACCTTTCTTAAACCTCCCATGGGAGAACAGGAAGGAGGCGTAGTTATTTGCAGCACAAAGCCACTTATGGAACCACCAGAATCATCATCTAAATCCTGCGAAGAATGTAAAACAAACATATTCAAGTACAAATGCCCAGGTTGCTCCGTACGTTCTTGTAGTCTCCCTTGTGTCAAAGCTCACAAACAACGTACTGGATGTACAGGCAAAAGACAACAACATACAGAGTTCGTTCCTCTTTCTCAATTCGATGACAATCTCATTCTATCTGGTAAATTCCTAATAGAAACCACCTTTTAATTTCGCTTAATTTGAATTTACTCGTTTGCCCAAATTCGGTTTCGTTTCCAAGGCGAAAATTGCATAAGAACAGTCCTGCTTAGCTGAAAATACCAACACCAATTCTCATTTACTGTGTTTACTCTTGTTACTTTCAGCCTGTATGTTTTCTGGATGTTTGAAATCACTTGTGGGTACTGACTATTTAACTAAGGAATGAATAAAATGACAAAGATAAAGGTAGATAAATAATCCTACTTTTTGATAATTAGTTGATCAATATGTAGAATCAGAACAAGTGATTGCTGAGAAGGCTCACTTTTTCTAAGTAATGGGGAAGAGGACCGAAACATGCCACTGAAAGACTCTACTGAGACAAAGATGGGCTGTCAAGAACGTCAAGAACGTAGAGGAGGTAGGATGGGCAGTTGGTCAGATCTAGTATGGATCGTACATGGACGATACGATATTAGGGTATTTAAAAGAAATAGATTAAGATTAATTTAGTAGATTTTGTCTTTGGAAAATCCACTTTGATTCTCTATCAACCAATAATGTGGGACCATTAACATTGTTGATCTTGTAGCTGTTGAATGACAATAGCCTGGATTTCGTAAACATATTTATTTTGACTCAGAGGGAGCAATTTTAGAGAGATGCTAAAGCGAAAGCCTATGGGGTCCCCGCATCGAGCGCAACCCTCATGTTTAGTTGCCATCCTCGTTTGAACCTCGCCCTTAATTTTAAGGCTATGCCCTCAATATCAATTGATCATCCAAACTCTTTAATTATGTGTGTTAAATGTTCAGATAATCTTAAGAAAATTTCTATTTGTCCAAAGACTAAAAATTGTTTATGCCATAATCATTTTCAGATCACGTTATTCGCATATCCAAAAATCATATGTGTCATTTGTTAGAAGTTGAGTGAGAAATAAAGTAAAATGCAAATACCTCTAGTCAAAGCAGGTTTCTTTTTTTCTGAGATTACTTTGAAGGGTGATACTTGATACTTCTCATTGCATGATTGCTTTTTCTGACCATCAGGCATGCCTTTTTGTTGCAAACCAACCACTGTCTTTTGCAAACTAAACATTGTTGTTGTGAAAGTGCCGATGCTAAAGATCAGAAAAGTGAGCATTCTTGGACAATTGTGGATAGATAAATGCAAAAGGAATCATAGTGATTTGCAGTTTCTTATCTAGAATCACACATTCTTGCAAGCTGTAGAGTTATTTTATGTATATTTGCAACCAAAATCCAATTCTGATGTTTCGATTTATTCTTATGTAAAGCTTACTTTCAGGAAGATTACATGGTTTGACGATGATTTGGCCCGAGATTTTTAATCTAACGTGTTCTGGAAAGTAATAAATTGAAAAAGACATGTTGCCCAAGTTGAATTATGATTGGCCTTTTATGTGTCTTCAACTTGTATTAAATGTGGTTATTCTCAATTTTATAACATGTAGTCTTTTTTGATAGTCGTAAATTGTTTGGCAAACTTTACACCCTCAGAAAACAAAATTAGTTCACAATAAATTGTAAATGGTAGTTATGAAGTGTGAAGTTGATTTTGATGCTTTATTGGACAAAGAGAAAGACATGCTGCTGTTCGACATTATTGTTTGATTACGGAATAATATCACCAATTGCATTTTGATTCATCATCACTTTACAAATCACACACCCTTGCATTAGTAGAAAATGTAAATAGAAAACAGGGAATACATGTAGCAACCAAAGGATTTTTACACTTCTGTTACTTTTTCTTGTTTTTTGAGGCTTTTTCTTTGTTTAAGTTGTTAGAAAATATCCATAAGTTGGTCTTATGTCCGACAAGTCTTGTTACCCTAACCCTATTTTCAGAGATTATATTTTGTTTCGAATCTTATCCGAGTTTGGAACTCGAAAGGTTCTTTAAGTTTGTGACTACCTACATGGTCTAAGATCAGTCCCTTGTTGGTATCTAATCAGTATTGGAATACAATTTGGGCTCATCATGGACTTCTCATCACATTTAAAATAATTTATCCTGGTCCCCAGGATGATCTTTTATTTGATGCTTCAAGATTTCTTGAATGTTTATATAAAATTTATCGAGGGTTAGATCACTCTGGATTGAAGTTGTGGGCTAATGATCAATCAGTTGAAAACTGCAATCATTGTGGATTTTTTATTCATGAGCAGATTACAACATGCTTGAGGATGTGAAGAGAATAGCCGATTCCGCCAAGAGAAGGAGACTACAGCTCTGTGGGAAATTCTTTCATGGGCTTCCACACAACCTTAAAAGCTTGATGAGGGCTGCTGGGAATCGGAAGATTAAACTTTTCTTTTTGCCAAATGGAATGTCAAAAAGGGAATCCAACCAGACTTTCTTTGATAACAGGTCATCTTTGTATGCTTGAGCTCATAATATTTATTTTCTTAGTGATGATGCTTTTTTCATAAGAATTTTTTAAGTTGTTCTATATAATTGCAGCCCCACTTCTTGGCATGCATCTATTGGAGCTTTATGGCTCACTTGGTTATCTATTTAGATTTTAAAAGACTTATGTCACATGGATACAGGTGATTGATATGTGGATGCCAGAATTAAAAGAAAGGGATGATATGGTAATTCATGTACTAATAAATATATATAATAAACACAGTTGAGCGTATGCTTACCATTCTTGTACTTTGAAATATTCCACCTATATTCTTCTAAACCATCCGAGAAAAATAGTTTCGTTGTGTTGTTATACCTCCTTCCTTAATTAGATTTTTAATCTTGTTCTGTAAAATGTGGGTTTTAATTTGAAAAAGACCAAATTTCCCATCCCATATCACTGTGGTCAATATTCATGGCTATGGTCAACACCACATCCCCCAACACCTGGAAGCATCCAGAGTGGGATGTGGCAAGCAATTCCATGTGACCGCTAGACTAAAGGATTGCTAGTTTTTTTTAACTCTTCTATATATAATTTTACTATGCTCCTATTTTCTTCTTTGTGCTTAAATGTGTTTTGCTACTAATTTTTGTGTTAGCGAATTTTAATGAAACCATAATTTTTATAATTAAATTTTGTTTTATTTTATATAATGCTTTGTGCCCCTGCATGGAACTTTTTCTGGATTCGCCTTTGGATACATTCTATGGCACAAGGGGTCCTAGTCATATGTCCAACGCTCTAGCATAAATACTTTTACCCAAATATATTTCTTACACATCCATACACTGAACGAAGAACGCCTTTCGTCGCTCCAAGATTTGAAGATTGTAGCTGATTTATCAATAACATGTTTTTTTTTAAATTATTACATCCAGTGTTTTGAAGACTTTATTTGTTTTAAAGTACTATATTGTCTTTGTAACATTTAATTCACGTTTGTTGATCTATAAGTCTCTCGGGTTTCTAGAAGAATCACTGAAAAGAAGTGCTTTTTCAAATTGGTTTTCCAGGAATAAATCTATTTCGTGGACAATAGAATGGCGCTTTCATTCAACCAACATCAAGTTGTTCGACCACGGGTAAAGCTTATGTACCATTCAGATCTTGAAAAATAAAATCTTGGTGGCATTTGTGTTAGTTGGCTAGCCGTTTATGCATCATATTTGAGTGATCTTTGGTCTTTTTAAGTTAAATCGGGTTCGTTCTATTGCAATTTGCATGTGTTGTTTCAGAGTACATGAAGATTCAAATCTTTACTCGATGATTGAGAACCATCTAAAATCTGGTCCAAGGAATCATGCGTTGCAGCCGTTTCGTCTTGAGCCCGTGGAATCTCTTAAATTTTTCATTAGTAAACACCCAAAGGTTTTTTCTCTCTCAATCCTGTTTATATTGTTGTTTGTTTGATTTTATTTAGTTATAGAGTATTTATTTGTATACAATGGACCAATTTGGTTTGTTGGTCCTGAGTCAACTCAAAAGATGCTTATAAGTTGTGTACAAGCCAAGTTAGTGAGTTTCATAGGATCATTTTTTATTGAAATTTCGAATACAAGCATGAAATTAGAATGCCCTACTTCGAGTGGTATGAAATCATCAAAAGTAAATAATTACATATATATTTTCCCTCCGTCCCAAAATAAATATCCACAATGAAAAAGATAAACAGTTTTAGAAATGTTAAACTTTTTAATTAATTAAATGACAATTTTACCCTTAATAATAGAGGGAGTAATGAATTTTTCTATCTCATAATCAACGGTTTTGAAAGTGCATACTTATTTTGGGACAAACTGAAAATAGAAATGTGGACACTTGTTTAGGATGGAGTAGAGATGGCCAAAAACCGGTCCCGGGCCGGGCCGGGCCCAATCGGTCCTAACCTTTCTCATAACCATAACCGGCCATAACCGGTCCCGATCAAAAATGATAGGACCGGTCAAGGTACTTCATAACCGGTTATGGGCCGCTGGGCCGCCGGTCCCAACCGGTCCTTGCATTAAAAAATAAGATTTTTATTTTTATTTTTTTGATGATATATATTTTTAATACATTATAAAATTTACAATTGGGTCACTCAAATACACTTTAAAAATGCGTTTTAATATAATTAAAATTATGTTTTCTTATAAAAATACATTATAAAATTATTTAAAAATACATTTATTTATAAAATTATTTGAATTTTCGGGCCGGGCCGGGCCGGTCCATAGTCGGTCCCATAACCGGTCCTGGTCCCACGAAACTACCAAAAACCTCAACCGGTCCTGGTTTTCGGTCCTATAACCGGTTCTTACCGGTCCCGGTCCTGGGTCGGCCCCGGTCCTCCGGCTGTCCCGGGCCGGGCCGGGCCGATTTGGCCATCTCTAGGATGGAGGAAGTAATAGAATTGTCAAATATAGTATCTTTAGGTTTAGGAATAAGAATGGGAAGTATGCCCATGAATTTGTACCATCCGTCACTAGCGATACACACTAGGTTTTTTTGATAACTGTGGGTATTCGGGCCAGCTTGCACACACCTTGACTAATCTCACGGGACCTGAAGATAACAACCAAGAAAATCCCCGGTGGCAATGAAGAGACTCCAACTGTCGATCTATAGGTAGGAGCCCCAAAGCCTAGCTTTTATTTGCCTGTTATGAAACATGAAGTTCAAATTCTACTATGTGTAATGAATCCTAAGGTGCCGCTTATCGGTCAAAAGGCAAAGAGTCTGTCGAGGTTGTCTGTTTTGTGGTTCTTGTCATAATGTTTTGTGTTTTTCGTTTGAATGTAGCAACCAAGATCACCATTTCGTGAGTTGGACATACAAGCCCCGCTACGCCAACAATTGGCCAGTCTAGTCATCATAGAGTACCCTGTGATTCACGTGTTCCTTCCTTCACATAGCCTCAATTTTGAAGTCGTTAAAGACATTATCACTCATATAGTGCAGCCTAAGCCGGACCCGGTCAAAGATAGTCAACCAAGCCCCAAAGGCACGTTCTTCAGGGAAGAAGAAATCAAAGATCATGACTCCGCAGATCCTCATGTTTTGGATCTCATGAATCGGTCAAATAGCAAAACAGAGCCGAAAGACATTCCCAAATCTCTTGATTCCACTAACAAAAACGAAGCGGGGGTTGAACTCGGGGTTGCCGACTTGATGAATTTTGACTTTGACCCCGAGTTAGTCGATGTTTATTCTAATCTCATCTCAGAGACGAACCCTGATGATTTTCTTGATATGGATAGTTTATTGTGTGATGATATGCAACTGCATGAAGAAAAGAGAGATTGCAAAGTTATCAAAGAAGAATTGGAGGAAGGAGAGATAGCGGATTCCGACTAGCTTTTTGGGTGGTCGTGAACGACTTTTACAGATACGTTAATCGATCTTTTTTTTGTAGAATGTCGATTTTATGTTGATTACGCAACTCGGTTTTAGTCTTCCCGATAACGACGATAAAGATTGGAGGGAGGGTGATTTTGAAAGTTACAGCAGTTGATGCATTAGTGCAAAGAGGTATCCTTGAATTGTATTTTGGTGGATGTATCAAACAGTTGAGATATATGAGAGATATGAAGATGCAAATGAATTAGAATGGGATAATGAAAAATGACAAAAATACCCTTTATTTAATATATTTTTTAAAATTTGTATTAAGTATAAACAATAAGAAAATTAACATTTAATGTGAAAAAAATTATGTAAATTACTATTTTTAAATCATATATAAACATAAAACGTATATTGCTAGTAGAAAAAATTGAACTACAATATGATTATTAGGTAGTAGATGGTATTAGTAGAAAAATGGAACAGAAATCAATATATAAAAATCGATTTCAAAATCGAACATAAACCAACGTAAAAATCAGTTTAAAAACCCAACAAAAATCGATCGCAACAACCAACAGGAACCGATTGTAACAACCAACTGAAAAATCGATTCCAAAATAAAAAAAAAACAACAAAAAAACCGATTTCGAAAAGCAACAAGAATTGATTGCAAAACCAATCAGAAAAATCGAACCCCCAAAGCCATATAGAAAAATCGATTACATAAGCAAATCGTCTTCGAAGAACATAAGCGTGAAGGAGAACCATACGACCACGATTTGTTAAGCCAAATCGGTCGAGAGTCCTCAACGAGATGGAGACTCGGATCTCGTATTAAGTGTGTGAAAATCATGTTTAAGTTTACGAATTTACAAATTTCATTTTCCATCAATAGATAATAAACAAACATATACGCCTATGGATCATCACCGTATCAAATCTATTATTATTCTTAAATACTAATATATTATAACAAGACTAGAAGGGTACTCGTACAATGCAGCGAGATAAATCTTCATTTTAATGTTTAGTTTTTATTCTTTCTTATCGATATAACACGATTTTATGTGGTTTTTGAGAAAACGACAATGTTTTTATTTTTGAATTAAATATAAATTTGAATGTAGCGTAAAAACTTAAAAAAAAAATCGATATTAGTATTAAATTAATTATTTAATAGTTCTCTTTTTTATGTAACTTCTTTAATTTAATTTTTTATTATACATTAATTTAGATTTAATAACAAAGTAATTTATTTTTAGTTTAATAGTATAATTTTTTTATAAGAGTAATAATTAAACATTCTATTATAAATCAATGATTATCTTAATTATAATTTAGATTTATATATTTAAAATRAATGTTTATCTTGTATTTGATTATGTTTATCTGCAATTAGTTACGCAAACTTAAAAAAATGAGCTTTAATAAGTTGTACTTACGCAAAGTTACTTGTAATCATGAATTTTAAGTAATGTGCGTCAATAAACAGTATTTCATGCATAAAAAATGGTTTTTAATAATTTTTGTCAAATGGTAGTATTGATAAACACCAATGAATGCATTATACTTATAGGAGGTGGAGTGGTGTCATCTATTTCTATCCTAATTTCATTTTGAATCCATAGACCCAAAGTTT